ATAAGAAATTTCAAATAAAAAAAAACATTTGTCATCTCCTAAATAATCACTCTTTATAAGATACGTATTTGAGAAAGTAAGGCATCGTTATATGTATAATGGTTTATTATTTCACAAGGAGCAGATCTTACATTAAAATAACGACTTATAATATTAAACGTTATAACTTATAAGTTGTAACCCTTGTCAGGTCTCCAGGACCGTACTAGGCAACTAAACCTGTACCTATTACAGCTTACTAGGTTCCCACCTTCTGAGACTAGTCTTGGATAATGAAAGTACTGTTGTTGTCGTTAAAGTATATTAATGCTTGCGTGCGTGCTTGCGTACATGCGTGTGTGACTGGATGAGAGTGTGTGTGAATTCAATAGCCAAAATATTATATGAACTGGAAATGTTATTACTGTAATAACATTTCCTGTCTCCGAATAATCGAGTCTTTTCTACTAATTAGATATGATACATTTACAGTCATAATTGCTAAGTTATTCTTAGTGACAAACAGAGTGTTCATAAAAATCATTCGTAGATTATCACATTCGACTACACTTTTTGGTGACATCTATGTCGAATAGTTTAATCCGATCTGTGTTGTAGGTTTAGACTGTAATATAACATTTAGTGATGTATAGAAGAAATAATTGTATAAATCACGGAGGTACCAAACTCATTTAACGTAAACATTTTTCTTCGAAAATAACAAATTTTCGATTCGTAAGTTGCGATTGTGTGATTGTGGGTGTAGGTACAAATAAAAAATGAACGAATGATTTGGGTATTCGATCCTTGGAAACTGTAAAGAACATTGAAGACGAGAATTATTTAATTGTTATTAAAAGAAACAATCTCAACGGTCAATAATAACGGTGAAGATATTTAGCATTCTTTTATAGCCCCGCACTTGAGAAATTCTTTATCAAATTACAGCCAAACTCACGAAATAAATGTAGGCCATACAAATATTTCTCCCGGCCCGGAAATCGTACCCTGAGCCTCTGCGTGGCAGTCCAGCATGATAAACGTTCGACCACTGAGGCAGTTCAAATTGAGTATAACCCTTTGACTTTGACAATCATAATCATTTTTAACCTCCGCAATATCTCGTATCCTCCTGTATCTAAAGTAATAATTAGACGCCTTAGCCTGTCCCGGAGGACTAAGAATTTTACTACTACTACTAAAATAATAAATCCGTAAAGACATTGTACTTGACATAAGTATATTTTAAAAAATGCCATCAAAAAGATACAAGTATTGATTGCCTATAAAGTCAATGCCTTCAATAGCAAAAATTCATCGAATCAAAAACTGTGAAGTCAATACTTCCCGGCAAACTGTAAGTAAGAATTTAAAAATATATCCCAGAGAACGACGGGACCTCCTACCTTTTATGATAGAAAAAGGTATCCGCATCTTTGATATTTCAACCGGAGCATGTTTCCTCTCTCCCGAATCCTGAATAGGTACACCTCTGGTTGCCTAGCAACGCGTTGCTAAGAGATCCCTGTTCAAGGTAGTCGAATCCCCATTTGAACACAAACTTTGGGGCTCGGGAATAAGGTCGATGTAGAATTGTTTGATAGACTCCGTGTCAAAACATTTTTGAGAGGGACAGGCACCTACCTACTAATTTAGTCCCGGAGCTTTTTCTCTAATGATAGAGGCATTCCTCTCGCTACTCCGCATTTATGTACTATGGCTTCTTCGTCATCAAGATGCATCGCCATTTTCCAATACATTTTTTTACAAAGCAATGCAATGCTTAGACCAGGGTATCTGAACCTTTTTCTAGTCATGGACCGCAACTTAAAAATTTCAAAGCGCCCACTGACGCTTTCCAAAAAAATAAATAAACGACGTTTAGCTTTTACCGGCTTTTATTGTTTGCGATTAAAGTTTACGTATGAATGTCGGTGTGACGGTTGCTGCTGCATATGCTGAACTAGAATCATGATTAGACCGTCAAAGGCGTTGATGTTAAGGTAGTTACGTGAGTTTCGCCTGTAATCTGTGGTTTCGCTCACTCCAATTAATGGATGATCGTCAAATGGCGCGAAAATTTAAAACGTTCACGGCACAGCACCTATTTATTTATTTATTTATTTATTCATTATATTGCATATGTACATTCAAAAATTCTTATTTCTAGAGTAGGTATGTACATAACCCTGTTAGGGTGTTGCAAGTCTTAAGTCCTAAGTTACATAAGATTACAATACAACAACAAATAATTTTGGGGAAATCAAATTAAAATTTATAACATTTGTGACCGTGAGTAGTTCTAAATATAAATTTTATTTTTCGTTTAAAAATTCTTCTATTGAATAATACGATTTTTTTATCAGATATTCTTTTAATTTATTTTTAAATGTGTTAATGTTAAGTTCTTTTCTGATTAGTAAGGGAATTTTATTATATATTGAACTCGAGCTATACAGTGGACTATTTCTGTAGAGTTCCAATATTGGTGCAGGAACGATTAGATTATGTCGGCGGCGGGGATTGCTGTTAAATTTAAAATAAGTCGGCTGTTTCCTGACAAACAATGCTGCTTCCATGATATGAATGGATGGGAGGGTTAGCATATTCTGCTTTATAAAATGTGGTTTGCAACTCTCCCGCTGACGGATATTTACTATAATGCGGAGACATTTTTTTTGAAGGACAAACAGATCCTGCGCATCAGTGCTTTGTCCCCAGAGAATAATCCCATAACGGATCCATGCATATGCATACGCATAATACGCAGACATAGCACAATTTGTGTGCGTATTAGCTTTTAGGATGCTAAGGGCATAAGTGAATTTCGACAATTGCTTCTTAATTTTATCTACGTGGGCTTTCCAGTTAAAATGCGAGTCGATGGTTATGCCCAACATTTGTATATCAGCTACTTCCTGAATATTATGCGTGGTTTTTACGCTATTTAAACTGATTGGTTGTTTTTGATACGGATGAAACTGTATAAGATGAGTTTTATTTTTGTTTATTTCGAGATTATGTGCTTTAAGCCAATTTTTCACCGAATTAAATGTGGAATTAATTATGGGACTGCAGTCAACATCTTTGGGGCATTTAAATAACAGAGAGACATCATCAGCGAAAAGAATACATTTAGTGTCTGTGGTTTTTGGTAAATCGTTTATGTATATTAGGAACAAAACACTACCCAAAACGCTCGACTGTGGAATCGAATGGTTTATAATTGTGGTCTCTGATTGAAAAGGTTTAAGTATTCGTGTTTTGTCATTATAGTGTTTAATCTGAACGAATTGTCGTCGACTGTGTAAATATGATTTAAACCATTTCAGTGCACCTCCGCGAATACCAACTCCACGTAGCTTTGATAACAGTATTTCATGGTCGACCCTGTCATAGGCTTTGGACATGTCCAGGAGTAAACCTACTGCATGGCATTTGTCGCGTATATGGTTCATACTCTCCTGTACATAATTATATGTTGCGAGGACGGTCGAACGTTTTTCGCGAAAGCCGTATTGATGTTCGTTAAGAATCTCGTATTTTTCCAGATAGGAATAGATGCGATTTGACATCGGTTTTTCAAACAGTTTCGATAGTGTGGGAAGAAGTGCAATTGGTCTGTACTGGTTTGGGTGTTCCGATTTGCCACCTTTTTTTAAAATGGGTTGGATTTTTGCTATTTTAAGCCTCTCCGGGAAAGTGCCTTGTTCGAAAGACTGGTTCACAAGAGCTGCAAGTATTGATACTAGTTCATCGCGACAAAATTTTATCAAAACCGTCGGTATTTCATCATAACCATGGCTGTATTTATTGGGAAGTTTTCTGATAAGGCCGTTCATTTCTTTTTCTGATACTGGATTATTCACAACATATTGTATACCAATTTTTATATTAATGCATTGTGTTAGGTAGGCTCATCATGAGCCCCTGGCGTTAATTACAGGGACCCCTTAGGGTCCCACAGGTTAAGAAACCCTGGCTTAGACCACCGCACCGCACACAGCTATTGGACTGTTGTTGGACTGTTGGTTCCGTGTGTCTGTAATATTTGATTACCTTATTAAAATTAAATAAAAATGTCTTTGTAAATTTATTTAAACAATTATGTATTTTTTAAATTATGAAATTGACCATTAACCATTGGTATTAAAGAAAATAACGAAAAATCCAAATTTTCAGTAATTGGCAAAAACGTGCTTGGTTCCTAGGCAGGCAATAAAACTCCAGGACTAACGTAAAGGCGGGAAGATGCATCATTTTATCACGTAGATACTCGTATGTAAACATCTCGATAGAGTGAGATAGATTCAACCATATGCCATCTAGCGGCAGTAGTAATGAACTAATATAATAAAAATATATACAGTACAACTATTATACTATAACCCCCCATTATACTATTAACATACTCTTATTATCTAATTTATTATCGAAATTATATGTAATTATTAATTCAACCCCCTCAAATTAATTACATTTTTAATTTCTTTTAAAACTAAATGAAATACATTTATAAACTCTAATTTGTTCTTTTTAGAAACACTTTCCAGTACTTTTACTTTGTAATTTATATATGAAAGCGACGGGCAATATTTACATATATTAGTTTTTAATCATTTTACCAAATGAAATAAAATTGCTTTATATTAGAAGTTAAACTATTGTTTCGGATATAAAGCGCATATATTTGTTTTTTTTTCCAACAAACCAAAGTTTCGAGCTCTTATCAGGTCACATCCCATTCTAACCCGTGAAATATACGCAATTTAGATCCGAAAAAATTATTTAATTGACAACAGTATTATTTTAAAATAACATAATAATATCTTGATTGACCAATGGGACTAAGATTTTATGTAGAGGCCCAAAAGAGGTACAAACGAGAAGAGCGATTATTAATATATCTACAAACAAGTCACGTGTGTCTTGTTCATCATCTATTGTTCATGCAATATTACATCCATTTCGTTTAAAATTATTCATCATTTGTTTCATAATATCTTATTTACGATTTCCAGAGATCTAGCAGCCCGTAACATCCTGGTAGACGGAGCAGGCGTCCTTAAAGTAGCTGACTTTGGGTTGTCTAGAACCGGAGTCTACGTGCACACCAGATCGCAAGTGCAGGTGCCCTTGCGATGGCTCGCACCTGAGGCCATTCTGCACTCACAGTATTGTACGAAAAGCGATGTTTGGGCATTCGCTGTATTATTATGGGAAATTGCTACGTTAGGTAAGATATTGATTACGGAGCAAAGATTTTATTAGTAATAAAAGATAGGATACGTTATGTAGGTACATCATAACTAGCGCTTACCAATGGCGCCGTCACATTCAATTTTAAACGTGACAACCATTGACTTTTTATTTGTAAGTCAATGGTGACAACAATAATGTAGCTAATGAGTGTAAGTAAGATGACATGTCTACTATCCCACGCGATTTATGTGGACGAAAACGCAAATTGTTACTCGTAATTATTCATACAAAGATCGAACACTTAAGAAAAATTCCTACGATCCGGCTGACTACGGAGCGAACTAACAGACCTTACGAATTGTTCTACGTGCTTGTTGCAGATCTTTTGTTTTTGGCTTTTCACGCAAATTATTATAATAGTAAATCTACCACGTCAAAACAAAATACAATAATATCAAAAACAGTATTTTATGAAAAACCTGCGAAAAGAATATTTCGGTTTTTTGTAATTTTTGAGGTTTATAACATAAAAAATACACTTAATAAGTAAAGGTCTTAATAACTTAAGTGTCTAGCTCATCCTCTACTAGCTCTCTGGCACTAGCCCGGAGAGTTAGTAGAGGATGAGCTAGACATCTTCCGGTCCCTCCGGCCGCGGAGTAATTTGTAAACTGGAGAGACGCCGTTCATTCAGCGTCGGGAAGCGAGCGTGCCTTACAGCTCTGCCACCAATTTGAAAACGAGGAGATTTGGGAGTCAGCGGCTCAGCGGTGGCAACCGTTAGTCGTGCGGAGCTTGGTTATGCTTCCCGCGTAACCACGAGGTTGATAGACAGGGGCACTATAAACAAAACTTATGTAGAATGATATGGAACTGTTCCCGACCGAACCGAACTGGAACCCGACCTGACACGCGCCCGACCCGCACCCGCTCTATGTGTGTTCTACGCTTTACGCTTACTTATTTTACGAGATATGACGGTCACTTTAGTTCTCTGACATATGACTCAGAAACCCCAAGCATACTTCGCTCCATCGCAAGCTAAGCGATTTTTTTGTGGCCTGTTGTTAATTACCACGTCTCGGCTCCGTAGGATATAACCGGTAGAACACACTTTTTTAGATTTTGTGGGTTTGACGACCTGAAGATGTGGCTAAGTTATTACAGTTAATTTATATGATATAGAATAAATATGTGTGTGCGCGCTGCATGCAGTGGGCGCTGAAGAGTCCTAGGGTGTCTCGAAAGCAATTGGGGGGCGATAATACTGTTCAGGGCGTGCTGCCGCATTTGAAAAAAAATTATGTTATCTATATGAACTGCACTACATACAATGTTTTTCCTTGTGATTTTTTTATGTTAAGTTAATATAAAAAATATGTGTTTTCAATATTTTTTTGTGATATTGGGCGTTGAAATTTTTTTATCTTGCTTAAATGGTCGGTGAGCCAAAAAGGGGAACTTACGTTTTAAATAGAGAGAAAAAGGGCAAGAAATTAAAAATCCTTTGTTATCGTAAGAAATGTGTTTTGTCCAAAATTTTTAGCTCTTTATAAAGCAAAATCCGACCTCAAGTTTACTTATCCGCTTTCGCTGTGTTCGTTACCGCCCGCAGTCTCCTCAACTGAAATGTATATGGAAGTCCTCGAACGAATCATTTGAGCCCAAACACAAGGTAGCTGCTGTACACTATTGAGGAGTTCCTCTTATCTGTTTACCGTTTCCTTTATCAGATTAGCTCTAGGCCACCATAACATTTGATTTTTATTAGAATTACCTCTATTTGCCGTTGGGGGTATCGTTTGGTTTTGGCATTGT